GCAATTTCTTGATGCTTTATTCTTCTTGGGCTATGGGAGCTAATTTTCTCGTCTACATTTTGTGATGATGAATACCAATGAAAGATGCCACTTTGCTCTAGCTGATGTCACACATTGTGTCATCAATGCGAATGTTTAAAGATTGCAAACACACAAGTTGTTCCAGAGGATCTTTCTTTGCCTCACCACTACGATATTTAGCAGAAAATATATTTTGCTTCTAACAAAAGCATTTAGGTTTCCTTGGGTGAACGAGCAATACCTCAATAAAATAAAAAAAAAATGTGTAATTTGTTACTTGGCTGTTCGGCAAGTAGCTGAGCAAAATTTGAATAATCCAAAAAGAATTAAAATACCAACCGCCATCTATTTTGCGATAATTTAAAGTTTAACTGTCAGTCACATCAGTTTATGCCAAATTAGAATCAGTCAGCAGGACTTCACTGTCGTTTTTTAGCAACCGACTTCCTTGAAAAAAAGGAAGGACTAAGCGATTCTCACGATATCTTATAAAGAGACTCATGGCGAGTTTTGTGCAATAATATTGGCAATATAGAAAAAAAAAACTAATATTTACCTTAGTTTGAATTAAAACGTTCAAGCCTCACCTGCTCAGCAATTTGAGCGAGGCAATTTGAAGGTGACACTGTGACCGAGTGGTTAGAATGCTGGACTTGTAATCCGGAGGTTCCGAGTTTAAGTCTGGCCCTTACCGCTTCCTTGATTTGTTTTCAACATTCCCATGTTGAGATATTCGGCCATGTTTGTAAAATACCTAACTGGTTCGCTTTCCATCAGTTTGGGTTCTTAACTTTTTTCTATTCCATTTAAATTATTAGTTTCATTATCCCTAACAAGCCCCTATGGAGAGAAGATAATTATGTATTTAAAATTCGTTCACCATTAAAAAAAAAAAAAAACTTTCGTCGAGCTTATTTAATCTTTATTGCAGTCAGAGCCATTAGAGCTCAATTTTAGGGTTTGCTTGCAGGTGTTTAATAAAACGGTGTTAATTTAGACTTGGGTTATAGTCATGAAAGTTCCTCCTGTAAGCAATGCTATAACCAGGCTTCGTAAGCTTTCGTACAAGGTTAGTTACCTGATATCAACAATTTTGTTAGTTTAAATACGTTCAACAAGCAAACAAGTCATGGATAAATTACTTTTAACTTTGAGATACTTTTAAAAAAGCATTTCAAAGAGCATAAAAGAAGCAAAGTAGAATTTATCTCCTCTTCGTGCCAATTCGATTCTCATAACATAGCAGTAAAATAATTTCCATTTTAGTTGATCAGTCATTCTTTTAAACGGTGTATTTTTCTTTAAAAAAATATTTTCACTCGATACCATTCATCGTGAACAATTCAATGCCTTGGTTGTGAACCATGTTGTTTAAATTTGACTGTTTATCGAACAGCGGAAGTTTTGATTGACCCCAACTCTTTCAGTAGATCCAAACAAGGACAATATCAATGCACAGTTAAGAAAAAAAAAAATGTTTAAAATGGCCAGAGATCCCTTTGATATCTCTAGATGGAACAGAAATTTCTATTTGAGAATTTAAGGTTTCCCTTTTAAAGGGATTTTATGTCAGGTTTTCTCTTTCTTTACCATGTTAAGAATTTGGTCAGTATAACGGAAACGGATATATCGTATAAATGACCTATTGACATAACATCGTTGGACATAACTACTCATTTCTCTGGAGATGTAGGGCATGTTGTCAGCCACTAGTGTTTGGGGGTATCCATGCCTCGAAAAGATTTCACAAGACCCTGAATAACATCTTGACTTGCTTTACCCTTGAGTTGGAGTGCCTCAATGTACTTTGAATAATAATCAATGACCACAAGATAATTTTAATTTTTGGGTTCTAAAATATCTGAAGCAACTGTCTGCCAGGGTAATAAAGTGACATCGCAAGTTTGCATGGGTTTCTTGGGTTGTTTGCTCTAATATTTCATGCATTTTTCACAGCTAGAAACCATCTCATCAATATCTTTGGTCATGCCTGGCCAAAATACTGTTATTCTTGCATTGCCTTTGCTTTTTTCAATCCCACAGTGACTCAGATGTAATTTTTAGAGAATATCTTTTTTCCATGGGGATGGGATAACAAGCCTATTATCCTTGAGTAAAATAGAGTACTAAAGTGATGACGTCATAAAAACGAAATTTCTGGAATTATGGGATTTGCCAGAATATTCTGAAAGAACAATATCCAAGAGGCCTACTTACCAAAAATGAGCATTTCGGGGCAAATTGTCTCTGAGATGTTAGCCGGTTAAACTCAGAAAACTCCATACAAACCCTTCTAATTTTTTGGGGGGTCGACCCCAAAAAAATTTAGAAGGGTTTGTATGGAGTTTTCTAAGCATAACTGGGCTACGATCTCAGGGACAATTTGCCCAGAAATGCTCATTTTTGGCAAATAAGCCTCTTGGGCATTGTTCTTTCAGAATATCCTGACAAATCCCATAATTTCAGAAATTTCATTTTTATGACATCACACTTTAGTACTCTATTCTATCCGTGACATGAGTATCATTTCGTACATCCCAAAAGGACTTTAGAGATGGGTGTACATCACACTTATGAGCAGGCCAATCCTGTAAAGAGTATTGGTGTAACATCTGCATGGTTGGGTCATTGGAATTCAAATCTCTTAGCTCCTTCAACTTAACATCTGAGATGGGGAGACTAGACACAACACTGTGAATAAAATACTCCATGTCTTTATGCATGTCACTGTCACTGGGCATACTGGACTCATTGCATGCCCTAGAGAGGGTATCAGCAATGTATTGAAACTTTCCTGGGACAAACTTAACTTTAATGTAATACTTCTGGAAACGCAGCCTCATTCTTTGTAAGCGGGGAGGAACTTTAAATAGAGGCTTTTTAAAGATAGTTTTGAGAGGCTTATGATCCGAATTCACTTCAGCTCCATGAGTATACATATTAAATCTCTCACATCCCAAAACAATTGTTAGCATTTCGTTTTCTATGGGTGCGTAATTCATCTCTGAATTTGCCAAGGCACGTGAGGTATATGCAACTGGATGGCCTTGTTGCATCAGGCATGCTCCTAAGCCATCTTTGCTAGCATCAACTTGAAGTGTGGTTGGTAAGCTGGTGTCATAGAAACGTAAAACAGGGGCACAACTCAAAATTGTGTTAATTTTGGTGAAAATTGTGTTAATTTTGGTGAGTGCAGAATCATGCTCAGCGAACCATGCCCAGGATACATCACCCTTGAGTACGGATCATAAAGGGGCAGTTAATTCTGACATGTTGGGAATATACTTGCTAAAATAATTGATCATGCCAAATAACCTTTGTAGGTCTTGCTTGCATGCGGGTGTGGGTATGTTATGAATAGCCGAATTTTTTTCTGGGTCAGGTGAGAAGCCCAGTTCACTAACAACTTCATCCATATGCTTGAATTGGTTAACACAGAATTGAATTTTGTCACGGTTGAACTTAATATTACGTTCTCTTGCTCTAGTCAGAACCTTGCGGAGGATCAAATCATGTTCTTCTTCACTTTTACCACCAATGATGATATCATCAAAAACTGGTAACGCACCTGAAATATCATCGAAATGTTTTTCGACCATTTTTTTTGCGACCTCGCCTCCAATTTCATTCTTTTCAACCGATACCTGCCAAAAGGTGAATTAAAAGTTCACAAAAAGACTCACCTGTAAGCTTTTGGTCCCGGTAACAGTTTGACATGCCACCAACTGACAAAACCTTGCAACCATTGAGTGTGTTTGAAATAGTTTCAAAACTTGGGGGTTTGAAATCCTCCCTTTCTATGGCCTGATCCAAGTCAGGTGGGTCTAAGCATAGTCTCAGGGTGATATTTGTTTTCTCGGCTATAACTAAATTACTGACCCAAATAACCGGTTCTTCTCCTTTAGTGATAATATCCTTTTTTTCTAAATCATCAAGAGTGGCCTTGAGTTTATCCCTTAACCTGAGGGGAACATTCCTTTGTTGAATGGTAGGTTGACTATTAGCTTTCAGTTTGATGGTGTATTCACCCTCTACACACCCTAAACCTTCAAAAACTTCCAGAAAGTCATTCAAAATAGCGGGTTTTTGTTGAAATTCATTGATATTATTAAGACCTATTTGCTCTACCTTGCCATTCAAAGTGATTAGCTCTAAGGCCAAACATGATTCTAATCCCAGCCGGGGTCTCACATTATCCTTGATGACAATATTCTAAAGGTGTCGAATCCTTTGCCCCATTTACCCTTGTTGGGAGAATACTTGTTCCCACAGTATCTAATTGGTGCCCACCAAAAGACTTAAGTAACATGCTCGTGGGCTCTATTCGAGCGCTTAACTCACTCGCTAGATGCATAGACATTATGTTACATTCCGCACCATTATCAAGTTTAAATGTTACATGAGTGTCATTAACTAATAAATCTGACTGAGTGTTCCTACTAGAACTACCTTGAATTGCTTCCATGTACAGTCCCTCTAATGATCCATTCTCTTCATTTGACTCCACTTCCAAGTGGCGAATTCTTTCTTCGATGTTGGTTTTTGATTTCAGGCAACAACGTGCATAATGATTTCGCCCATGACAATTGTGACACGTGTCTTCATAGGCCGGGCAGTTTCCTTTGTTGTGAGCCGATCCACAGAATTTGCATCTGACTATCTTCCTCCAATCCTCTGTCTTCTCAGTTTCCACTGTTGGTGATGTTTTCTTTACTGTCTCAATGCTACTAGTGTGACCTGTTGGCGCGTTGAAGACTTTCGATTGTTTCTTGGATTGCTCCGTGATTCGACAAAGCACGACCGCCTTCTCAAGTGAGAGGTCCGTTTCACGGAGTCGTCGCTCGCGCAGTTTAGGATCGTTAATGCCTACCACAATTTGATCTCGAATTAGGGAATATTTTAACGCACCAAACTCGCAATATTCAGCTCTTTGTTTGAGATCCTAACAAATACATCGGCTGCGCGATCTTCCTGTGACGTCGTTCGAAAAACGTATCGTTCGTAGATTGTGTTTTAACGCGGGACGCACTACGCCTCCAGCGCTGTCAAAATAGCTGTCACAGTTCTTTCCTTAATATCAGCTGGGACATTCGGTAATGTTTTTAGGACTCGCCTAGCTTTCGTTCCCAGTACCCTCTGAATGGTCGCTATATGCACCGAATCATCTTTGTCCTGAAGACCGCTCAATATTCGATACAACTTCCATGCTTCTGACCATTCCTACCATTCGTCCGCGAGGTGAAGACTCTCAATATCCAATTTTGGAGGAGGTCTTTCCATTCTGATTGACTTTTCGTCGGAGTAAGAGATCGAACTTATGAGCAAGAGATCGAGGACACACATCCTCATCGTACAAGAGCAAAGCTTATTCTAAACCAACTCAACATGTGTAGATCCAAATCATGAGATCTTGTTACAAAAAAGTTCAACCAATCATAACACCTGTAATCCACAAATCAGTTAACTTAAGGGCACATTCATGTGACTTTTGAGGCAAAGGCTAAGTTATTTTAGAGTGAAACATCTTACATCAAGCTGATAGCCTTATATATACACCCAAAAAATAGCAAACATCTTCGATCACATTCAAGGGCCATAATGGCTCTTGATTACAGTAGATTAAGCCTCCAAAACAAATTCTTGGAAAACAAATCAGGCCGAATTTTTTTGCGATCGACAAGTTTACTTTACAAATTCTTGCTAAAAATCTGGGGGTGTGTAAACCAACCTTTTATACTTTTTATACAGCACATCTGGGGTGAAACAGTACTATTTATCATGCAGACCTTGGACAGAATGCGGTATTTCACATTTTTTTTTAAGACAAATTGCATGCAGTCATTCAGGACGATCAATCTCCAAAATCACCCATACGGCCAGATGGTTCTCATTTCTAGTGTGAGGTGTCAGTGTGGTCGAGTGTTTGAATGAACTTTAATAGAGTCACCCTTCAACATAATAACGAATTTTTTTGTTGTTGTTATTTAATTGTTTCAGTTATAACAATGTGTAATCTTATTTAGTGTCTGATACACCCGACATTTTTTAGTACTCCTGCAAGCCATGTTCATGAACGATGAAAACAAACGGCACGGACAAGCGATTAAAATTGCAAGAGAGACTACTAACAATAAATAAAAGAAATTTAATTCGGTGAATTATTTACAGAGACAACAATTTTCATTCACGAAGACGAGTACTAAAGTGTGACCAAAAATCCTAAGTTTTTAAGCTTAAAGCTTAAGCTTAAGTTAATTATATTTTACTTTAAACCGACCTCCCGGTGTTTGCTTTTTTCAAAGATGAACTCCTCGAAGAAAAAAAAATCGCTCAAAGGTTTCTTTCCACAGCCAAATTTATAACTACATATTCTTCGGAACGTTTTCTTTTTATTTGCGGTGAGAAAATATATCTGAAGGCCTTGTAAAGTTCTGTAAGCTTCTATCAAACCTGATACTCGGTCAGATCATTGACTCAAATTTTACAAACGTGCATAAACTTGCCGCATGAACTGTGCTCGACTTCATGAAATTAGATATAACAAAAACAAGCATCAAATACAATAATTACTCAGGCTTGCCATTCGAGATTCAGTTCCTGAAAGCTATCAAGGAAGGCCACAGTTGCTTGAGACTTTTAAACCCTCTTAAGCATTAAGCAAGGTGAAAAACGAAAACGATGCCATCCCANAGATTCAGTTCCTGAAAGCTATCAAGGAAGGCCACAGTTGCTTGAGACTTTTAAACCCTCTTAAGCATTAAGCAAGGTGAAAAACGAAAACGATGCCATCCCAAATCACGGTCACTTGATTACCAAATTTTCTAAGATGGAGACAGGGCTGAAAAGCGTACTACACATGTCCGTGACATCACTTGTTTAGTTGTCTAGCCCGTGCGCGAAGCACTCTTGCGAAATGAACTTCTTGCATCTTAGACCATCATCGACCATCTTAAATTCATGTGAATTCCAATGAAGGAGAAATTCTACGAATACGTTAGAAATGCAACTCATGGAAAGAAATGTTACGTTATCCAGGGATCAAGGAAAATGTTTTTGACCGTCCCGGGGAGGTTATCCATTGTTTTGATCGTCAGTAAGATTGCAGAAAGATGACTGAGAAATAAAAAAGGAGCAATGTGCTGGTGTTTGGGCGACTTTTCTTCGATGGTACGTAAACGATTTACTTAAACATTACTTTATTGTGGTTAAAAAGGAGAAAATCTTTGTAATGTAGCTGAGCGATAACAGTTGTTGACCGTTTCTTGGTGGCAAGAAAGCCGGCTTTGCGCGCGATGATACCATCAGACGCAAGAAGTCGTGAAAGTCATAAATTTAGTTACAAATCTTAGTGCGATCAAAAAAGCTTTTTCTTACATATAGCATTAACCGGATTAAAGCCGCTTGTCGACCTGTAGAATCAGAATCTATTCGGTTAAGTTTGTCTAAAATTTAATTTGCACTTTTAAGCTTAGAAATGAATAAACTTTTTAAGTTTAATGCTGGTGAAGTTTTGAGAAACAATCACAAGTTGGCTCAGCTCTATGTTAGTTTTCGTATTAACTAAAAGTTTTCCATTTACAACAGGTTTGAATGAAGCAAAAGAATCAAGAAATAAAGATCTAGACTTCAACGAGAAAAATAAATGAAAGTTTATAAAGAGTCAGATTGTGCTTCTCCCCCGGGGGAGGGGGGGGGGGGGGCAAGG